AATGGATGATGGATGGATGAATGGATGATGGATGGATGGATGATTGATGAATGGATGATGGATGGATGAATGGATGATGGATGGATGGATGATTGATGAATGGATGGATGGATGATGGATGGATGAATGGATGATGGATGGATGGATGATGGATGATGGATGGATGGATGGATGAATGGATGATGGATGGATGGATGATTGATGAATGGATGATGGATGGATGAATGGATGATGGATGGATGGATGATTGATGAATGGATGGATGGATGATGGATGGATGAATGGATGATGGATGGATGGATGATGGATGATGGATGATGGATGATGGATGATGGATGATGGATGGATGGATGATTGATGAATGGATGGATGGATGGATGGATGATGGATGATGGATGAATGGATGAATGGATGGATGGATGGATGATGGATGATGGATGATGGATGATGGATGGATGGATGATGGATGATGGATGATGGATGATGGATGGATGGATGATTGATGAATGGATGGATGGATGGATGGATGATGGATGATGGATGAATGGATGAATGGATGGATGGATGGATGATGGATGATGGATGATGGATGATGGATGGATGGATGATGGATGATGGATGATGGATGATGAATGGATGGATGATTGATGAATGGATGGATGGATGGATGGATGATGGATGATGGATGAATGGATGAATGGATGGATGATTGATGAATGGATGGATGATTGATGAATGGATGGATGGATGGATGGATGGATGGATGGATGGATGGATGGATGGAGAACCAGAACTCTGATCAAAGGACCAACTGCTGGGACCTAATGTTCTACAATCTTGTAGACGGGTTCTGTTGGTCCAAAGTGAAGGCACAGGATTTTATAGACACCGGGACTTTCCTCTAACAGAGTCAAAAGTTCATTTTATTAATTTAAAAAGTCTTTTTCAGTTTAGTTTTAAAGTAAATAGTAAATGTAAACTAAATGAATTAAGCTTAAATGAATGTTTGTTGAGAACATAGTGAACACTCACACTGGACCTTGTTCTGTGCAGATCATTCCTTTCACTGGATCCATTCATGGTGGTCTGCAGGAAGGCAAATCCATTYTCATCAGTGGACGGGTTCTGCCTCGTGCCAACAGGTCCGGTACTTCTCAGCTGCTTTGATACAATATGAACATTTTTCTGGAGACATTGGCATTCTTGGTGTTTRGATCATTTTTTATTTTATTTTCATTAAATGCGTAGACTCAGAGATGACAAAAACTAAATGGTAATGGTAAATGGGCCCTACTTTAAAGTATAAATCATTTTTGTCAGAACCTCGAGCTGTTGAAGCTGAATGCTGAAGCCTGGTATATAGTTGACTTGGTGCGCCGGGCCCAAGGTGACGCAGTCGTGCTGTCCCTGGCCCTGCACGTTGGCCCTGCACGTTGGCCCTGCACGTTGGCCCTGGGCGGTGTCCTGGCGCATGGTCGTGCACCTCTGAAATTTGGAAACTCTGCACCATTCAAACAGCTTGCTTGTTTGTCAAGCTTTTGTTCTCCTATTTACAGCATTCCACAAGTTATATAGTGTACTTCCACATGTCCTTTTGGACAAATCTGCAATGACCTAAGCACCGAGTATAAATGCCTCCAACGCTGGCGAGGGTGCACATGTGACCTGCGCAACTATAACCGAGCCTTGACAGGATGGCAACCASTGGTTCCTCTCAGGGTAAGTTAGGTGGTGGCAGGACTAAGGACATCAAGTCTCATCTTTGCCCAGCCTCCTGTGGATTCACATCTCCAGAAAGGGTCCTCATCCCTCTGCATCACATGCAGGGGAGTGAAGAAGGCGCCGGCCAACCTGGTCTCATGCAACCTGTGTTGCACCATGGCACCGCAGATTTCTCAAAGACTCCTGCGGGTTGCAGTAGGCTCAAAGGCTTATTTACATGATTTCCTGTTGTGGTGTCCCAGCAGGAAGCAGATGCAGAGAAATACACAGATCGTTACTCAGCTTGAGCAGCCTGGGTTTCAGCATGAACCAGCAGTGTTGGTTCCCACACAGAAAATAGAATATTTGGGCTTCCAAACACCGTGTATTTCCCAGTTTTCCTGACAAAAGTGAGAGTGGAAAAATGTCACCAGCACCTCGTCCTGATCTTCAGGGGAAAGTGGGTCCGGTTAAGAACCTGCCTGCACCTCACAGGTCTGAAGGTCTCAGTAACCTCTGTTGTTTCTCAAGGGCTGCTGGGCGAGACTTTCAGAGATGGGTCTCCTCCTTGTGGCCGGGTGCGAGGTGGCACCTCAGGCTCCAGGCGCTGAGGTAGTCCAACGGGGTGGGAAATGTTTGGCCCCTGTTGTTTTCAGTGAAGTGGAGACACAACATTGGAAGTGGATTTGCTGGCTCAAACATCAGCTAAGACAACATGTGAATTACATGCTCTGCATGTGCATGCATCATGTTTGCAGTTTTCTCCAGACTACAGGAAGTTGGTGCTGCACCCTGTTTTTGTGCCTAAATCAGTGACTCAGCACACAGATGTTTGTCACTGGAGCTACTGGCGTTTCATCCCCCACCATCTACTGATGAAAGATGGTTAAATCTGCTGTGTCCAGTGCACACTTGTTTATCTGGACAGGACATGGAGTTTCTGTATAAGTAACCAACTCTTAGTATCCTGGGCTCCAGACCATAGGGGGAAGCCTTGGTCCGGCCCCCAGAGTGACTAAGAGCACATTCAACCAGAGGTACACCTACCTCTTCAGGGGGTTCTAGTTGGAGACATCAGTGCAGCTGCCAGTGGGCATCTCCTCACACTTTCATTAGATTCAACTGCCTGGACGTGACTGAGTCAATGCTGGTGCATTCAGTCTCCAAGATGGGATCATAGCTCAGCACCAGCCCCTGAGGTGGGCTAGGTGGAGGGTCAACGTTTAGATCTCAGACCTAAGTACTGGCACGTGATCATGCAGAGTGTTGGACAGAGGAGCTTCTCAGAGTGGGAGGGTGCCCCCATGCCAAGCATGCATTGCTAAAGGTGCTTCCAGTAGTGAGATACCTCACTCAGTTTTCAGAGAACCACAGTTACCTCCGTAACCAGAAGTTTCTATTGTTGCAGGTTCCATGTGAATTTACAGTGTGGGTCCAGAAGTGGTGCAGACATCGCGCTCCACATAAACCCACGTTATGACAGAAACCCGTACCTGGTCACCAACACCCAGCAGAACGGCAGCTGGGGTTCTGAGGAGAGGAGGCAGAACGTCCCCCTCCCTTCAGGCTCCAACTTCACGCTGCAGATCACCGTGACCCGAGACTACTACCAGGTCAGAACCAACACGTTCACTGTTTGGTAGAATAAGGTCAAGTTGTACAAAAAGTCTGAGCCAAASCAGTGAAATCATCTAACTACACCGGAGAACCCCCACAGGACTACGACAGGCTCAGCTTTGACACAGTGTCCTCTGTCCRCAGATCAGTATCAACGGAGGACACTTCATGGACTATAGACACCGTCTCGCATTCCAGCAGGTGGACACGATCACTGTGGGTGGCAGTGTGGAAGTTTCCTCCATTTCCTTCACAAGTCCTGCGGTGAGGATGTTAACATGTCAAACCAGGTTGAGCCGGTCTTCATTAGTGTTTTAGACTGATCAGAACTTCATGAACTCTTGTTGTGCACAGGTGTTTCCCTCCCAGGCATTTCCCAGCCAGGCTGGCTTCCCATCTTTCCCAGGACTCCCTGCCCAGCCTGGATTTCCATTCCAGCCTGGGTTCCCTGCCCAGCCCGGGTTCCCTGCCCAGCCCGGGTTCCCTGCCCAGCCCGGGTTCCCTGCCCAGCCTGGGTTCCCTGCCCAGCCCGGGTTCCCTCCGTCCATGCTTGTAAGTGAAGAAAAGACCTCCACTGTTGCTCAGTAGGGGGTCTCTGAAGACTGACTAGGACTTTGGGGCAGCTGTGGTGGCAGAGTGGTCAGGGGAATTGTCCTGGAACTGGTAGGTTGCCAGTTCAATTCCCTGTTCCAGCTGTCTCTGTTGTGTCCTTGGGCAAGACACTTCACCCCAATGCCTCCGATGTGTGTCCCAAAAATGTACAAATGTGATTTAAAGCACTGATTAGTCTCCATATATGATTTGTAAATGTTAGCTTTGTAGAGACCTAGTAGAGTGCTGAATGAATGTGTGAATGGGGTGGGTGATTGAGGACGGACTGAGAACTCTCTGGGAACTCACTGAGGACTGACTGAAGACTCTTTGAGGACTCAGAGGACTCGACTCTGAAGACTAACTGAGGACTCTCTAAGGACGCTTTAAGGACTAAGTCAGGACTCTGAGGACTGACTGAAGACTCTTTGAGGACTCAGAGGACTCGACTCTCTGAGGACTAACTGAGGACTCTCTAAGGACGCTTTAAGGACTAAGTCAGGACTCTGAGGACTGACTGAAGACTCTGAGGACTGACTGAAGACTCTGAGGACTGACTGAAGACTCAGACAGGGAGATTTGAAAAATCCTGTCCATGAATAAAGAACCGTTGATGGGTCTCTGTTTGTCCACAGGTGGTTCCGTACAAGCAGTTCATCAATGGTGGACTCCTACCAGGCAGAACCATCATGATCCAGGGAACCATTGACCCTGGAGCCTCCAGGTACCAGATCTGGCTGATTTAAAGTCATGGGTGTGTTATCTGGTCCACACAGGAGGAAGTTCAGTCTGGTTCTGTTTGGGGAAGGTGTTTCCCTCCTCACTTATCAGAACTGATAAAGTCTGTTGAAGTTGCTCAATCCACGTCAGCAGTTTTTAGTTCTGCAGGAGCGGTTTGGGTTCAGAGCTGCTGACTTCCTGAACAGAAACTCAGCTTTGTCCTGATGTCTGCTGAGGGAAAGTTAACTTCCTGTTTCAGGGAAACTTAACTTCCTGTTTCAGGGAAAGTTAACTTCCTGTTTCTCTCTGATATCAGGTTTGAATCAATTCTGCCTGCAGGAAACTCGTCTCTTTCATTCAGACACAAATGATTTCAGCTCAGGTTGCCCTTATTGACCTTTGACCTTAAAGAGCCAACCCAAAGGAAACCCTAAATCTGACCCACAGAACCCTACAGACAGCTTTACGCCTGCCTGGTTCTGATGCCCTTTGCCTTCTCTCTTTCTGTAGTGTTAAATATGTTTTACTGAACCACAGAGGAGGGTCAGGTCAGTTTCTTTTCTGKTACGAGGCAGACGCCCATGCTGCTCTCCAAGCCCAGCTGAGTTCTGCTCCACGGCTCTGAGGAAGACTTTCCACCCTGTCCTCACCGGAGGTTCAACAGGTCTGAGGCTTATCAGCTGGAGCTGACTCAGCGATGAAGGACAGAAGTTTCTGAGTGTTAGTCATGTTAGCATTAATGCTAACATGGGCTAACGTTGAAAACACAGAGCTCGCTGGTCCAACTCCTGACTCACCTGTCCTGTGTTCCTTCAGGTTTCACGTGAACCTGAGCCACGGCTCGGGGATCGCTCTGCAGTACAACCCTCGCTTCAACGAGAACACCGTGGTCCGAAACACCAAGCAGTGTGGTAGCTGGGGTTCTGAGGAACGACACGGGAGGATGCCCTTCCAGCGTGGGAAACCTTTCACGGTACGTTCAACTCAGAACCTGCCCAGGTGCTCTCAGATGGTCCGATGGTTCTGATCCGTCTGCTTTGGTTCCAGCTGACCTTCGTGTGTGAGAACAACTTGTTCCGGATCGTGGTGAACGGGATGCAGGCCCACACCTACAAACACCGCTTCACTCCGGTCCACAACATCAACYCCCTGGAGATCGAGGGAGACCTCCATCTGAGCTCCGTCAGCCTCTGAAGGTCCAACGGGTCTCCTGGATCCAGAAGGTCCTGTTCTGGCTGCAGACAGGTTTCCTTCCAGCTTCAGCTGTTTCTGCTTCGTGTGTTTGACTCAGTGTTCTACATCAGACCAGTGTTTCAGAAACCAGTTCAAACATCAGACCAGTGTTTCAGAAACCAGTTCAAACATCAGACCAGTGTTTCAGAAACCAGTTCAAACATCAGACCAGTGTTTCAGAAACCAGTTCAAACATCAGACCAGTGTTTCAGAAACCAGTTCAAACATCAGACCAG